CACTCATACACCTACACCCCTACACACACACCACACATATCTATACCCACCACACACACACACTATACCCACCACACACCTACACACACCACACATTACCCACCACACACACCTGCACACACACCACACACACATCTATACCCACCACACACCTACACACACACCACACACATCTACACCTACACACACCTACACATACACACCTACATTCATACACCTACATACACACCCCTACACACCACACCTACATACTCATACACCTAGACCCCTACACACACACATCTATACCCACCACACACCCCTACACACACACCAATACCCACCACACACACTTGCACACACACCACACACATCTACACCTACACACACACCAACACCTACACATAAACACATACACACCTACACATACACCTACACCACACATATCTACACCCACCACACACACCTACACATACGCACCTACATACACCTACATACACACCCCTACACACACCTACACACTCATACACGTACACCCCTACACACACACATCTATACCCACCACACACACCTGCACACACACCACACACATCTACACTTACACCTACACATAAACACATACACACCTATACATACAGCTACACACACCACACACATCTACACCTACACAACCTCCACCTACACACCTACACTCATACACCTACACACACCACACGTACACTCATACACCTACATACACACCCCTACACACACCTACACATAGACATACCTACACATACACTGACACACCTACACACCCCCTACACACACACCTACACACTGATACACTGACACACCTACACACTCACACCGACACACCTACACACCCCCCTACACACACCTACACACATACACCGACACACCTAAACACACACCCCTACACACGTCTCCCAAAGTGGCAGCAGGCCTCCTGACCGGAAAGGCGCACCCCTGTTAGAAGCTGCGCCCTCCAGTGGCCCTGGCATTGCTGGCCCTCCACCATCAGCATGACTCTCTCTCACCCAGATGGGAGGCGGCTGTGAGAAGAGCCTCAGTGACTGGATGGTGAGACAAGGCATGGTGAGCAGGGGCCAGGCCTGGCTGCCCGGAAAGCTGGGGTTGCTCGCAGGGCTCCTGCCAGGCGTGGGCGTGGGGCACTGTGCTGCTGTCCAAGGGAGTGGGACCCAGGAGAAGACCCAGAGGAGCGAAGAAGGGCAGCTGAGGGCCCTGCGGCGCCCCAGGGCTCAGGCTGTTCCCGGGTTGGCCCGGCCAGCCCAGCTTCCGCAGCTCCTCTGTGCCCAGTTCCCACTCTTGAGTCTCGGGCAAGGGCAAGGTAGCCCCTCTGGCAGCTAAGAGGCAATGGGGATAGCGGAGCGGGAGAGGGAGCCGGTGTGGGCAGCTGGGCGCTGGCTGCTGCCACTGCTGCTGGGAAGTCGTCTCCTGCCTTCTCTCTGGGCTCTGCTCCTGCCTAGGGGGTCCTCAGGTGCTGGGTGACGGAGCTTGGAAACCAAACTGGCCTGGTTGAGGAAAGCCTGTCTTTTCTAAAGTAGCTAACTAGTAACTAGTGCTATTAGTGCCATTACTGATTAATTGTAAATAGGAACTGGCCTATTGGTTTCTTGAGCATCTCCTCCATGCCAGGCCCTGTGCTAAGCTTTTGACATCCCATTTCATCCTCACAGCCACCTGGACGGTAAGTACTGCTGCTAGCCTCACCCTAAGGACGAGGGAAATCAGGCGCAGAGAGTTAAGTAACCCGCCCAGAGTCACACTGTGTTAAGGGGTGAGCCAGATCCAGCTTTTTCTGAGTCTGAAGCCTGTGCCCATGACCTCCAACTGGAGTCTGCCACCGCCGAAGCCGTTAGAGGAGAAAGCCTCCAACTCCTGCCCCTGTGTGGGAGCCATCGTGGCACAGCCCGTGTCTTTGTGGCCCAAAGTGAAATGTCCCCATCTGTAATGCCGCCTCTCTGGGTCTACCCACCTGGCCTTGTCTGGTCAGCTTGGCACCTCTGCTCTCAGGCCCTGCTATGCCCCCTTCTATCGTGAAGTCTGCGTCTGCAGAGGCAGCAGGGAATGGAACCTGGGGACCCCTGGCCCACTAACCATGTCCCCACCCCAGCCTTCATGGCTGGAGAAAACGCCTGGGGTCCGTCCCTGGGCTTGGTGTGTCTTTTGTCAGATGCTCCTGAGAACCTGCGGCATAGCCCCTGCCCCAGGCCGTTGCCCAAAGCCCCTCCTGCAGCCCAGAACGCTTACCCGCAGGGTGTGTCAGAACTGGGGTTCCTCTCCTCAAGGGGAAGGAGCTCCCTCTGATCCCCTGGCCCTGCTCCAGCTGCTGGGAGCCCTGTCCCCTGCTTAGTCTCCTGGCTTTGCACCTCCCTCGCCCACAGCCTGGCACAACGGGCCCAGTGGTGGGTCCGGGCAGCTAGGCAGCTGAGGCTGGGCTGGGAGGCTGCCCAGGGCCACTCAGCTGCCAGGCGTTGAGCTAGCACGTCTTCCACGTTGTCACCCGGGGCACTGCCCTCCCTGCCTCACCCTCTGCCCTTCCTTCCAGATCCCAGTCACCCAGGCCTGCCTCATGGAGGACATCGAGCAGTGGCTGTCCACTGACGTGGTACGTTGGGGCCCAGTCAGCTGGATGCAAAGGCTCAGGCCCACTCCTCACCCACACAGCAGGAGGACCCGTTGTTCTCACCAAGAAATGACCCACGGGGCCAGGGTATTCTTGTATAGCATATAGCACCCTGAGAGCAGAGAGGCACACTTAAAGTCCCCATCTCCTGCCACCTGCCCACCTTGTGTTTGGCACGCCCCCTCCCCCAGAGAAGGCCTGGGCACAGTAGCCTCTCAGCTGCTTCCCAGAGCCTGCTCCCAAGGTGAGGTGCCAGTGGGTGTCAGCCCACCTTAGGGATGTCGGGGCAGGCTAGAGAGGCTAACCGAGGAAGCATAACGGCGCCAGGCTCCTACCTGCAGTAGCTCAGGAGACTCCAGCCACTTGCAGAGAGAACCCATCCCCACCTGTTTACAGATCAGAAGACTGATAAGCAGCTGTCCTCTAAAGGGAAGCACCTGGGAGGAGGAGGGCGGGTGCCAGTCATGGGGACCCCAAGCCCTGCCACCCTCTCAGGGTGCAGAAGAGGCAGGGCCAGACCCAGCTTCTCCATCCAGGGCTCCTACCCCAGCATCTGCCATCCCCTCTCTGGGCACCAAGGCCCACATGGGCGCCTGGGCACTTCAGGCCCAGAAGCCGCCTTCTGCAGGTGAACAGACCGTTTCTGCCCAGGACTAAGCCACAGGGCACGGACTCAGGCTTTCTGTCTGGTGGCAGAAGCCTCACCCCTCCCTCGTTTGCAGTGTTAGCATGAATGGCCCTCAGCCTCTGGGTGTCAGCCTTTGCCCCCGGGGGTGAGGACCGTCCACCCCTTGTGACCCTCCCAAGGAAAGGAATCAGCACTCATCAAGGACCCGCTGGGCACCGGGTGCTGGGCTTGGCGTGTGGCATATTATATCATTTCAGCTTCCCAGCAACCCTCCAAGTTAGCTTCAGCCCCCACCCCGCCCCCATTTTACAGAAGGAAAAACAAGGCTCAGGAAGTCAGGTGCCACCCAAGGAGGGCCCTGGGAGGGCCCAAGGAGGGCCACACGGCTCAGGGAGGAGCCCAGGTCCAGGTCCTGGGACCTGGGTGGCGGGAGCATGCAGAGACTTCTGGGATCCAGTGCTCAGGTTCAGCAGGGCCGGAGCTGTGGCCCCACTGCCCCAGGCTGACTGTGCTGGGGGCCCCGCTAACCTCTGCCTCCTTTCTTCTGCCTTCCCAGGGGAATGATGTGGAAGAGCCTAAGGGGGTCACCAGCGAAGGTAGTAGTCCCCGCCCCTGCCCGCCCGTTCCTTTCCCCAGGGCTCTGGCCTCAGAGCCCACCCTCACCCTCACCCTCACCCTCACCCTCACCCCTTCCTCTAGAATTTGACAAATTCCTGGAAGAACGGGCCAAAGCCGCGGATCGATTGCCCAACCTCTCCAGCCCCTCAGCTGAGGGGCCCCCGGGTCCCCCACCTGGCCCAGCACCCCGGAAGAAGACCCAGGAGAAAGATGATGACATGCTGTTTGCCTTATGAGTGTGGGGTCTGGCACCCTGCAGCCCAGGTCCCCACTGCTCTCACACCCTTAGGCTGGGACCTCCCTCCCTCCTCTGGTGTCAAGGCTGCTTTGGGGGTGGCTCGTTACCCCCTTTTTCTCCTCTTTGAAGATGGAGCTGCCTCAGCTGCGGCTGGGGGTGTGGAGGCAGTGGGATGAACTGGGGACAGGTCTGCACTGCAGTGGGGTCTGGCTGCTCTGCCTCCTTTCCCACCCCAGCTGACCATGAGACTTTGCTAAGAAGTGGAGGCCCCAGGACAGGCTGGCTGGCTGGCTGACCCAGTGTGACTCTCCTTCACTGAGTGATACCCTGCTCCGGGCCCATGCCCCATGGAGCCCTTCAGAGCCCACACTGCCAGTCGAGGCCTGGCTGGAAGCTGGCCACAGTGGAGATTGTGCCGAGCCTGCTGTCCATTCCCCGCTCTGCTGCGTGGGGCCCCATGGCTTTGGCTGGCCATCAAGGGCAGGGTGTGGAGGTGTGGAGACCCTCTGAGGAGCTGCGGCGGCCCAGGTACGAAGCTGCAACTCTGCACGCAGTGGGCGAGATCTCACCAGCCCCAGGCTGCAGGTGAGGCTTCAGGGGCCGCTGGGGCCCCACTGCCCCTCCACTGCCTTGTCCTCCATCCTTCCTCTGTTCCTTCTGGCCGGGCACCACAGCACTGGGGCTCACCTCTTGGTTGATCCTCTTGTACTGGGAGGGGTGCCTTTTGTGTCCCCAATTAAAGGTAGAAAACTACCCTGCTAGCAGCACTGTCGAGTCTCCCGGTGAGAAATGACTTCTTGGCCTCACAGAGGCAGCGACTACTTTGGGCAGGGCTGGGGGCCACCCGAGAGGTGAGCATCTGTAGATGGTGCAGGTGGAAGGACAGGAGCAAGCACCCAGCTACACTACACAGGTGCCGCACCTCCCACCTCACATGGCAGGCTCCAGCCACCGCCCCTGCCCGGAGGATGCATGCCCTCCCCAGCTGACATCCCTCCCTCCTCGAGGCACTTCACGCTGCTGTCCCGTGAGGCCAGCTTCTGCCCTGCACAGAGCACACTAATCACAAGGGCTGGGGCCCGTGTGGACTGCGTGGGCATGTGGGGTACACAGGCCACGGGAGGAAGCTGGCCTTCCGAGGCCAGGTGCCAGGCACTGCCTGGGGCTATGCACTGGCTCGTATCATCGCAACAGCCTGAGAGAAGCAAAGTGAGCATCCTCGATGTATACGCGTGAAGTCGACGACTCCATGAGCCACTCAAACCGCCCAGCTCACAGGAGGAAGCTCTTGCAGTTGTTTGTCATGTGCCAGCACTTCCTTGTGCAGAAGCGCATCCTGCCCATTTTCCAGGCACCGAGGCTAAGTTGGGAAGACATGGCACACATTTCCAGACGCTAGGCCCCAGGTCAGGTGCTGGGGGTCAGCTCTTACCTCCATGGCAGCTCCAGAGCCCCAGGTCTTGGGGTGCCACCTTTTCAGGTGTGGAATCTCTAGGCCAAACTCCCTGGGAGTCACTGCCGAGGCATGTTGGAGCCTCCTGGCCCAGGACACGGTTGGGGAATGGAGGGGGCTGGTGTGGGGCCGAAGCAATTGAGCCCACAGGGTCCTGGGCTCCTGGGAGAGGGCCCGGGTCTGTGTGAGCAGCCACTGGTTCCCATGGGCAGTGGGCAGGCAGCACCTGCCATCTGAGGTATGGTCTGGAGCTGGGCATACAGGAGACCAGGCCCAGCCCAGCCATCAAGATGGAGTTGGGGCAAGGAAAGCAGCTGAGGGCAGGCACAGTGGCACCAGGCAGGGGAACGGGAGGCCCTGCCGCCATCAGGATACTCATGGTCCAGGCCAGGCGCTCTCAGCCACATCCAGGGCATCTGTGAGCCCCTGCCAGGTGCCCTACCCTGGCCCAGCCCTTTCCGTACCTCACAACAGCCCTATGGGGTCAATGATGTTGGCCACCAGTTACAGCTGGGGAAACTGAGGCTGGGGGAAGAAGGGAGTTGCCTGGTTATACACTAAGTAATGGAAGACCGGGACCCCCAACCTTCCTCACTGCTGCCTCGCCTGCCCCACCCACACCCCACTGCCTACTTCCCTCATTCTCTCCCTACTTAACTGGGGACCTCTTAGAGGAGAGTTGTGATTTTACAAGGATCAAAGCCGAGGCCTCGTCTCCCTGTGTTAGCTGGGAAACACAAGGAAACTTCCACAGATGGCTCCCAGGGCTGGGTGCGGGGGTCTGAGGGCCCTGCTAAGGGTGAAAACTGCCAGGTCGTTCATTCGTCCCTGTGGGTGCATCCCCTGGGAGCCAGCTGCGCACAGCATAGCGCTAGGTGCCTGCCAGACAGAAGTGAGGCGGCCAGGTGCCAGCCCTGTGGGCTCACGTGGGAGGGAAAGGGACGAGAAAGACAGGCATAAACTCAATCATTGTTTTGCACTGTGAAATGAAGAAGATGGGATGGGATGCCCAGGGCCAGGAGGCTCTCTGTGAGGACGGCCCAAGGCTGCAGAGGTAAGATGGGGTGAGCCGAGCCATGGAGGGCCTTGAATGACAGGCAGGAGGTGGCCTCTGCAGAGGTCTCAGCTTGTCTGGCTGGAACAGTCCTGGGCTGCCTGAGGGCCTCCTTCAGAGAGAAGGCTGCTGGGGCTGCGTGGGGGCTGGGGGGCGCTGGCGGAAATTCATCAGCGCAGTCAGGCTGGGTTTCCTGGCAGCAGGCTGTCTGAGGCGGCAGGCCTGGGCCGGATCACTTTACAGCTGCAGGAAGTCTTGGCCCCAAGAAAATGAGGGCCAGCTGCCTGGTGGGGGCCTTGGGCAGCAGCGGGGCCTCCACCTGGGACCGCAGGGCAGGATTAATGAGGTGCGGCAGCTCCTGCTGGGCCCAGCTGCATCAGAAGGCACTGGCCCCGGGGCATGGGGGGAGGGGTTGAGTGGAGCTGGAGGGACTGGTGGGCAGGGGAGAGGGCACCCCGGGCCTGCCTTTGAAGAAGCCTTTGGCAGAGCCTCCACCGAGCCCTCTCCCTCCTGGCTCCCCTGGGCCACCACCATCCCACTCTGGGCCTGGACACTGACCCCTCCACGTCCTGCCCCAGTGTCAGTACCCACCCCCTGACCGGCCACTTCTGGGCTGTGTGACCTTAGGCAAATTACTTAACCTTTCTGTGCTTCCGTTTTCTCCCTGGTAAAATGGGCAAATAACAGTCGCCCCCTCATACGGTTCTTAGGGTTGACTGAGCCAACAAGTAACCCAGCACCTGCCATGTAGAAAATGCTCTGTACATGTTGTTATTGTCACGGATGTCCCCCCCTTCCAGAATGGCCTCTGCTCCAGACACCTGGCTCAGAGCCCTGCCCCTCAGATTCCTCAGTAATTCTAGGGACCCCTGCTCTGCCTCTGGTATTGCCTTCCCAGCTCCAGAAAAACCTCTGTCCCTACTCCCCGCTGGGGGAGAACCAAAGGACGGTGTCTGTCTTTCCTCCTGGTTCTGGGCTGCCACCCCTAAGAGGGTCAGGGCTGACTTGATCCGGGCAACGCGGCAGGGTCCCTCTGGAGGTCCTGGATTGGGCTCTGCTGACTCTCAGTAGTAAGCGCTTTAGGAAGCCTCTGACCTCTCCAAGGTGGCTGGAGGTAGGCCCAGTTCTGAGCCCTGAGCACGTGCTATCGCCCCGGCTCAGGGTCAGTGTTCCAGGGCGACCACGAGATGGCAGCAGCGCTGCATCTACAGGGCTTGCCGGGGCGCTAGGGCGGAGTCCGCCGCGGCCAAGTCAGCCCCTCCCGGGTAGGGACACATCTCTGGAAGTCTCAGATCTTCTTAGAGCTCCCGACTCACAGGGTTGTGGGGAGGATTTGGTGAGACAAGCTGGGAGCTCAGCCACGGGAGCTTTGGGTGGGCAAAAGCCAGCCTGGTCCGCTCCCTCTCTTAACAGAGCCCCGGGTGTGCGGTCCTTGGGGCCCCTGCTCCCGCGCCTTCTCGCCGACACACATCCGTGTGCATTGCCGTTTCTGTCTGCACGTGTAGACAAATCATGAGCTCGCCCAGTAACTCCACCTCCACCACAGATTCCTTCTTTTCCGCCCTTCCCCTCCAGCAGTGAGAAACCTGCTTCCCGCCCGTCCTTCATTCCTTCTTTCCCTCCATCCCCGCAGTAGCCTATCTCTGTTGCCACCACTGTCCCGTCCTGCCCAGTGCCTCCCACCCTCTCCAGGTGGACCGCCACCACCCTGTCCCACAGACAAGCCCCTAGACACAGAAACCTTCTTTCTCACAGTTCTAGAGGCTAAAGTTCAACATCAAGGACACGGAGTCCATCTGCTCAGTTGGTTCCTTCGGGCCCCTCCTTGGCTGTAGATGGCCATCTTCTCCCTGGGGCCTCACGTCATCTCCTTTCTGCATCTCTCTATGTTCAAAAGTCCCATTTTTGTAAGGACACTATTCATCAAGGATTAGAGTCCACCTAATGATCTATTGTACCTTAATCACCTCTTTGTTTGTTTGTTTATTTTGTTTTTTTTGAGACGGAGTTTCGCTCTTGTTGCCCAGGCTGGAGTGCAATGGCGCGATCTCAGCTCACTGCAACCTCTGCCTCCCAGTTTCTGGCTGAGGCAGCGATTCTCCTGCCTCAGCCTCCCGAATAGCTGAGATTACAGGCATGCGCCACCACACCCAGCTAATTTTGTATTTTTAGTACAGACAGGTTTTCTCCATGTTGGTCAGGCTGGTCTCAAACTCCCGACCTCAGGTGATCCACCCTCCTCAGCCTCCCAAAGTGTTGGGATTACAGGCATGAGCCACCATGCCCGGCACCTTAATCACCTCTTTAAAGCCCCTACCTCCAAATACAACCAAATACAATTGCATTCTGATATACTAGGGGTCAGAGATTCAACATACGAATTCAAAGGGACAAAGGAGCCCTGTATTGCCCTCTGCTGCCCTCTAGTCCCTGGGTCCATTCTCCCAGGCACACTGTTCTTTGGCAGGTGGCCACAGTGTCTTCAGAGGGGCTGTCACATGAAACACCCGCTTCCACTCCCTGCCCCCTGCCCTAGTGGGAGTTTGAGAGTGGCTAGATTCATCCTAGGGCAGCCTAGCCTTAGATCCAAGGATTAGCCATGGGACCAGGAGCGAGCAGGGGTGCTGGCAGAGTGGAGGGAGATACAGACGCTGGGAGCCGGGCTAGGGGCTGCTCCTCTGGTCCCCACGGCCGCTCGTTGTTTCAGAGCAGACCCAAGTGGGTGAGCTGGCAGGTTTCACTTCCACCCACCCTGGTACAGGGCGAGACCGGAGGAAGCAGTGTCGCCAGGCCGCATCCTCACCCCTTGCCTCTGACTCAGGACTCCTCTGATGTCTTCCTTCCCCTGCTGCAGGCTGGCCCTGCACCCTCTGTGCACCGTGGACCAGGCTGGCCAGCAGAGGGAAGGAACCCAAGCTGACCAGGGCCCCAAATCCCCAGTGGGTCAGAGTCAGCTTGGCAGGGCACTTGGATCTCTTTTTTTTTTTTTTTTTTTTTGAGACGGAGTCTCGCTCTGTCGCCCAGGCTGGAGTGAGTGGCGCGATCTCAGCTCACTACAAGCTCCTCCTCCCGGGGTTTACGCCATTCTCCTGCCTCAGCCTCCTGAGTAGCTGGGACTACAGGCGCCCGCCACCTCGCCCAGCTAGTTTTTTGTATTTTTTTTTTTAGTAGAGACGGGGTTTCACCGTGTTCGCCAGGATGGTCTCGATCTCCTGACCTCGTGATCCGCCCCTCTCGGCCTCCCAAAGTGCTGGGAT